TACATTCATACAAAAATAATTACTCTTTATATCTACGTACCAAAAAAAACACACCAAAATTATAGTAGGGATACGAAATTGACAAATGTGACATGACACTCTCTCTAATATACCATTTGGTGATGACCAACATAAGAACAAAAAACATAAAAAACATACCGTGACCATTCATCAAATAAGCATAGCTCTTACTAATTTACTTACTTATTTGACTTTAACATATATCAAAATAAAAAACTGTTTAGAAATACATACGCTACAAAGCAAATTTATATTTATATTATATATATAAAAAATTAAAAATAAATAATTCTTTTAGACACACTAAGAAACATAATTTCTACTATTTCTTTTTTCATTACAGTTAGTTAAAACTAAAATCAAAACTTAACTTTATTTGATGAGATTAAATAAATAAATTATTAAAATAAAACTATAAAGTGTTTATTTTAAGATAATTTCAATTACCTTATAATAAATTTAGTTATATAACACTTTTTCATAGTTGATTGGTTGCAACAGAAATATTTCCGTTGACCAAAATTAGCGATTTGTCGCCGTTTTCCTAACACATTTCCCGCAAGAAACCTTAAGAGATAAAAAGATTCTAACCCATCTCGATTAATTTCAATAATTTAACAGATTTTTCAGCCCTTACATTGAAATAGTCTAAGATACCATCTATAAAATACTTTTCTGAAAACCTTTTTTCTCTGGAGACCAGACCTGAACCTTAACAGTGAAAATGTTTAATTGCCTCTTTTTTCGTAGGTTCCTATAAACCTGTGTCCAGAGAGAACTATAGTAAGACTTGCAGTACTTACGAGTTCCTTTTTATGAATTTCCAAGATTTGGTAAGCTAAGTGTCTTTAATTTATTATTGGCAAGCTAAATAAAATTGAAGTAAGTACTTCTTTAAACGGTCACCGGAGAAATAAAAGTCGGAACCCCAAGGGTGACAGATAGGAGAGTGCTAATACCGACCAAATCGATTTTCATTCCCTTCAATGATCTTATTTACAGGAAATCAGATAAGAATATTACCTGCTAGCTGATTTAGTTCGTCAATTGCCACTATACATTATTTTATCGGGAAACCAGATAATAGTAATGTTACCTAGCCGGTTTAATTCGTCAATTGCCTCTCTATATTCTTTAAGTAGCTTTAATTTTTGGATGAAGAATTGAATAGTGTGATTTTCAATGAAAATAGTAACACTACATATGTCTTTAACGTGGCTTACAATTAGCGGACATACCACCCTAATAGCTGTAACTTCAGCTTGAAGATACGTAACTGATTAGGTAGCCTAAGAGAGTAGTTTATATCCTAAGGCAGCCCGAAAATTTTTGCTTCTCTCCAGCAGTCCATTTTTGCGCCATCTGTCAAAATTGATACCTCACAGTTTGCCTCTTTTCCATTCGTTCCTTGACGAAAATATTGTTGGAAAATTTCTTTTAAATCAAAAAATGGAAAGTCAGCTAATTTCATGTCATCATATACGGACAGTTTGGATCTGTTCTTAGAATCCAGTTATGTTCATACATTAATAAAATAATATAACTGTATTTTATAATTTTTTAAAGTCATTGTGCCTCATCTACTACATTATAACCTAATAAATTAAGAATGCAAGTATTTTATTATTCTTAAATACTTCTCGTCAAATTCATAATATTCATAATAATTTTTCTAAAATATTTTTTGCCTAAACGGAATTTAATTTTAAATTAAAGAATTTGTGTTTTAATAAAATTGTAATTAATTTGGGCCATCCATCCTTCACACCACTAAAAATGGAAATTAAATAAAAAATTGAGTATTCTCCTCTTCTTTGGTTTATGAAATGGATGATCTACTTAAACAAAAGCTATATTGAATTAAGATAATGAGTTATTTAGTTGCATTCATTGAAGTATGGTTTGAAGCTTAGCTTAATGCATTAGTAAAAAAAACCTCAGTGTAGTAACTTTAGCAAGTCATTCATAATTCATTCATAATTACAAATTTTAAAACCTTTTTTATAGCACCTAAAAATAAATTCCATGTAAAATAATTTGTATTAATTAGAAAAAAAGGGGAGTATTTTAATTACTTTCTCAATAACTTTAACTTTGGTATTTATGAACTCAAACTGATTAATTTTAGTTTCATTAAATTCTGCCTTTATTTATTAGGTCTTTTTTATGCGTTATTTCTGTAAGGCAAGTAAACTTCACCATTACACAGAAGTTACGACCGTACATAAAAACTAAATTAAATATAGAAAGACTAAATACAACACCCTGTACAATTAAGGACAGTTCCATTCGACGGATTCAGACACCCACCATTTTGCTAATAGTGTGTAGGATTTTATGAATTTGCAGATTTTTACGCACCTCAAAGGCCTTCATGCGATAGCTTATTTGTGCTAAGCAGTTTGAGTTTTACGTATACGCTTTGTTCATTTCATTCGTTTGTGTTCGTGTCGTTGTTCGTGCATAATTTAGTTGGCATTAAATGCAGCTACATTAACAGTAAAAGGACAACACTCAAAAACTAAGTCCATCCACTACAAACAAAAGCAACGTTGCTCATAACCAAAATCAGTCAACTCGTGCTTGTGCTTGTGCTTGTGCTTATGCTTGGGCTCGTTTTTATATGCAACCAACGCTAACGGCCAACAGCCAACAGCTAACAGCTAAGAACTAACAGACAACGAGCAGTAGCAGCAACCATCAACACAGGCACCTACAGCAATAAAAACAACAAAAACAATGACAAAAAGAATTTAGCGTATAAACGCAGCATAGCATCATAAAAATGTCATCATGATGACAATAATGAGGCGGAGAACACATATAAACACATATAATATATACTAATAAGCGAACACACCAATATACATACAAAATTGTTGTCCAATGTATGAGAGTTTGAGTGTCTGATACTCTGTTAGTTTGCACGTAGAGAATAGCAAAAATTTTACGATGCAAATCTAACAATCACAGCAGAAACAACAACAATAAAATAATACAAAAAAAAACAAAAAAACAAAAAAAACAAAGAAAGAATTAATGAAAAACTTTGCATATTAAATGCTTCCCCAAACGGTGTAAAAGCATAGAGTTGTTGTTGTTGTTATTGTTGTCGCTTATATTATACGTGAATATAATAAAATGACATACACACATATGCATACAATATTTTGTAAATAGCACTAGAATTCTGATTTAACTCGATTTTTCTTCATATAGACACACATGACCACAAAAAAACTCGATTATGATTTCTTACTCCTGCACAGATTATTGTCAAGGAAATATGTTAACTTTAGCACAATTTTTAAAGAATAAAGTTTTTTAGACAAAATTCATAATTTCAGGAAACTGAAATTTAAAATTGAAATTATTAAAGT